AACCTAGTCGTTCTGTACGCTTTTAAGTTCTAGTGTTCTGCGTTGTAAGAAACCTAGTAATCAAGGTGAATCTTCATAGGGTTTGCAGAAAACTGAAATATATTTTACTTACATTTCAAGGGCACATCACACAGCAGATAGCAGCCACACATGCTTTGTGACATTAATAATCAAACAACTGCTCGGTCGAGCCGGGCAAGTATTGTTTAATTGACCCGATACCGCGCATCGCATTTGGTGGCCTGACAATGTTTACAGCCATTTGTCATGTCTATATCTATTCCCGCTGAGATATTGATTAAACATTCTTAGTTTGAAGTTTCAGAATGAACGAGCAGATGTTGCCAATAAACAGTGTTGTGATTTTATTCCATTTCTATATGGATTTATCAATCAATAATATAAAGGCAGGGCACATAGCGCGCATATCCACAATGTCAACCCTGTTTGTCCTCGGGCCGATATTTCATAGTTTGCGAACTGCTTTGTTAGATGACATTTGGAGTAATAAGCTGTAGTTGTTGTATAGTACCATTTGACAACTGACTGGTAACGTGCTGGTTTCTTGTTAACYGTTAATCTAATAGGGTCGCTCAGTTGTAATATATATATATATTTTTTTTGGGGGGGGGGGGGGAAATGAGCGACGGTGTTTTCACGATATCTTATAAGAAAGCTCTAGCCTTCACAGCTTAAATATTGGTAGTTAGGCATAAAGTGATATTTCTTGTTTCCATTCATCAATCATTTCTTGACTTCTAACTTAATCGGAAAAGCCAAGCTGTCAAAAATGTCGCTACTTTTGACTTGACATTAATTGATTACTCAAAGGACTTCATGTTGAAGTCTAAAGATCTACTCGACTAAAAACAGCTGATAAAGCTAAGCCAATATAGCGTGCTGTATATGTTAAGGAACAACCCGTTTTTTTTCTGTACAGATATTTTTGTTTTCTTTTCTGTACAAATCAGTTTCTCAATTTTCAAAATGAGATTTTTAAATTAAATATGAGATTGTATAAAGTACATGCCCATTCAATTCCGATTAACGCCTTCTGCTCGTTTTGAAGTTATGATCGATGCGCAAGAAACACACAAACTTAGGTAAATTTCCCGAAAAAGTGTGAGGAATGYTTGAATCGGAAATATAGGCGAAAAGACAAAATATCGGTGGGATTTCTTATTGCTAGTATGTATTCTTATATCTAGTACGTACGGCTCAGCGTTAGCCTTTTCATTTAATATTAAACCCTTCATCTTATAGGTGGTTATCATACCAATGAATAATGTACGTGTTTTTTTTTCGGGTAACACATAAAGGTATGAATGCCGATGTCGTAATCAAAGAATTTGTCAGTGCGACACTGTTGTAAATTATTCATTTTTAATCATATAATTTAATAACAAGAAGTTGCAGTACTACTTGTATACAATGAAACGCTAATAAAAATAGCAACAAAGGTGAAAATCATATATATTCTTGCCATTAAGTTCAACTCAATTACATCGTGGGATTGAAAACTTCGACTCACGGCAAAATGAGATTTCTTCATTTTCCACCAATCAGCTGGCATATTTATGATTCATCCAGCAAAAAAACTTTAAAATAAATCTTTATGAACATGAAATTATAAATAATACTGTAATAACATGAAATAAGATATATCATATAGCATAGCGGGGGTTAGTGTAAACCTGTAGTCATTGACTGAAGCTGAGGCGTCCCTTCCAACTTCCGAGACTGAAACAAGAAACGCCTAAGGTATCAAAGGTAATCCAAATCTTTGTTTAAGACCAAAATTGTTAGTCAACAGTTGGTGTACATTTCGGATTTTAGAATGTAGTAAAACTAAACGTTGGACGACTTCGACGTCGGATATGCCACAGATA